AAAAAACACCATACAATATAGTTCACTATATACACTATATGTTTGAGTTATATGTTGAGTAACATTCTAAGATATAAAACAACTTTCTCATAAAGAGTTAAAGAAAACAATTAAACTATACTCCACTTCAAAACCTGCGCAAACCGCATTTGTTTACTCGAAAACCAGGTCAGGCCGAGTCGCTGGCGAGTCGTTCAGTCTATTTCGCGAACTGATTCAAAAATGGTGAAAAAAACAACATGTTCGTTTTCTAATAGCACATGCCATTTATTTTTATAACTTCAGAATAACAAAGAACGGCATGTATATTTGTAATGTAGTGTAGCGCAAATTAATATATTAATATAAATATTAATATATAATATATTTTGCCTTTTAAACATTTGAATCCACGAGAGTGGATTACATTCGCGTTCTTATTAGCAACTAGCAGGCGTTTCCGGTTGCAACGTTCAACAGGTGTTATAAAGCATAGCAAGACCTTATTGCTTCATTTTAAATTTGCTAACATTTTCCTATAAATAGCCATAAAAAAGATGACCAAGCCATAGCTGAAAAGCCAAACCTATAAACTGACCTAGAGCTTGATTACTTTTCTTTCCATCTACCACCCCACGCAGCCACCAATGAAATGTCCATTATTTATTTCACAAGGGCCGGTTTAAGATAAATGTTGAAAATAACAATGAAGGTTTCACATCTCAGGGGAGAATAATATTTATTTCAGGACCCACAGTCTCTGCCATCCTGGTCCTGGTAAGTAAAAGCTGGTCACGTAAACAGAAAGTATAAATATTCTAAAAGTTATAAGCAGACAGATGTTCCAAAGCACTCTATCTCTCACTTCCTCAAATTCCACTGCCTTCACTGTGTCATCTTTACTTTGTCATCTGGCCAGGATCAGTTCTCTCCATCTTCACTAATTACCATCAGACCATCAACATCATTGAACAGCTTAGAGAGCACATAGATGAATATCTACATAAACACACATGAAAGTACATATCCACAAGCACTGAAATGAAATTGTCCATTATCTATAAAGTTTGCATGACTTGTGATTCTGCATATGAGTGTTCCTTCAATTAGAGGGATTCTTTGAAATCTAGGAAAAAATTAGACTTTTCCAAACTACAACACTGTTCAAAAGGGGTCTGTATTTTATTTTTTTACAGTAAGGGTACATTAAACTAATTAAAAGAGACAGTAAAGACATTTATAATGTTACAGAAGATTTCAATTTCATTTAAATGCTGTTCTTTTGAACTTTCTATTCATCACAGAATCCTTAAAAAAGGCATCACAGTGTCAAAAAATGTTTTTATTACGCAGTACAACCGTTTTCAACATTGATAATAATAAGAAATGCTTCTTGAGCACCAATGATTTCTGAAGGATCATTATTGGAAGAAATAGAATGTTCCTAATTTGACTTTTATACATTTAAAAATAAGAAATCCTGGAATTAAATTATAATTAATCTTCTAAAACTGTAATGATTGCTCTTTTTAAATTATTTAAATAATTTATAAGAGATTCTTCAATATGAGTATAATTTAGTAATTTCTCATAAATGTGGTAGAATATAAAAGATGTGCAAAAATGTCATATTGCAGCTATCTTGAAAAAACAAAGCAACACTTTCCAGGACATTTACTGTCTTTCTTTCATATTCTACCCTCCCTCTCTCTCTACACAGACTCTTTTTCTCTGTCCAGTCACATATTGACAACATATTGCACAACAGTATTATTTCTGGATCAACATTAATACGTCATTATTTCTGGGAGACATTTGATTTCTGTAAAATCATCGTCCAGCTGTGCGCACTTTGAAGATGCACAGCATTGATCTTTGATAAATCCTCAGTGTATTTCAAATCCCCTAGACAGACCTCTGGTCACTCCAATAGAATGCACTACAACCATCATAATGTTAAACATTCTGATAATAATTATTGTTTGAAAATATATATAAATATATATAATACATGGCCCAATGGCAAACTGACAAAAATCGAATTCATATGAATTAAATAGCTTTTTAAGAGTCAGAGGCTCGCAAGATCCAAGAACCTGCAGTGAAAGCACATGGGCTTTCTTATTAAGGACATAATCTGTTCCACCACATTCTTGTCAGGCTGGACTCGCTGCATTGGTGAACTGTAATATGAGAGGTGGCAACAAGCTTAAGTAACTGGATTGGTATATAGCACTGAGTGTCAGACAATAGATAGTCATCTCTGCAACACCCATCTGACCCTTTGTTCCTGCATGGTTTCAGGCGTGATTTAGAAGCTCATAACTGCCTGGTTTGATCCCAGTCAAGGATGAAAAACGGGGCGAGCAGAGCAGGGCGGGACCGGAAAAGTCTAGTTCAATCTGATGAACCGTACAAATCTCGGGTCCCCAGTCGAATTTGGGCTCCCCAAAGGTGTGTGGCTTACTTGTGCAGTCATTACTCAAATCACATTGGCCCTGGGGCAGCTTTACAAACACAGATTCTGGCCCGCGGATAAGCTGATATGAAAAAAGTAATAAAAACACACACAAAAATGGGTGTAGGATGTTCACCCATCCTACGTGTGAAATGTAATTGCTAGTAAATTTCACAGATTACAATGATACAGCAAGTTAAGTCTTTTTGAAGCAAAAAGACTAAAATAGTATTTTCTTGTAACATACTGCAATAATCTTTGTTTTATTCACAACTTTGTAAATCATTTTATATAATTCATATATATTTACACAAAATATATACTATTTAAATATACTATATACATTTATATAATTGTCAGCAACAATAATGACCATTTCTTAAGATTACAATACAAAATCGTCATATTACATTCTCAGGGTAGATTCTGAACTTCAGATCAGCTTCAACGTCTTTTGAAGTTACAATAGCAGAGTGAACATGATATACTCTATAATCTAGGACTAACCTTGCTAATCTATAGTTGTTTTTAAACGAGCACCATCCTAAAGTGGCAGGTCAAGACTCTCTAACAAAGGCAGTGGTTTAAATCCCACAAACCTGTCTGACTTTCAAAAGAAGGGTTTTGGCATCCCAGATGAAATGTGAATGCGGATATCAAAATGGGCGAAACCCTTTGAGGGGAAAGCACTCAAGTTTTGAGGTCTAAATAGTCTAATTAACCCTTATTACACAGAGTCGCCATTTGAATGCAGTGAGTAACCTGAGACCTCTCTTGGGGGTCAGAATCTTTTAAAGGCACAGTGGCCGGTACAGAAGGTCCAGCGCACCTTTAATCTTGAACCTCACCGACAGGAAATATCAGCCTGGCATCTTGCCCTCAACTTGCTATGGATCTCCTTTATGTGGCCACACACATTATTGAGGGATGTGATTCTTCTGGCATTATAATATGAAGGTGAAGGGGCTCAACGGTTAAAAAAAAAAATCTAGAGTTTATTTGAAACTGTATTGCATATAGTATGTGCATGTCATTTTTTTCTATGTCAAGATTATTTCTGTAAGGCAATTTGCGAACCATCTGAAGGTAAATTCCTCTGAAAATGTAAACACTGAACTTTTAAAACTGCAGTATTGGCTCAGCCAATGGTGTGAGTTTAGGGCTGGGCTATGTGTTTGACTGACCAATGGCAGACAAAGAGTCGGTATGCACTGTTAGTGATACTAAATTCTATACACTTGATTCTACGTGATTCTAATAAGGAGTAATAATACTAACATGACATAAAAATGCTTGTAATTCCTTTTATATTGTTTTCTTTCTGTGGTATTGCTTCCTTACTCTACTCAGATACAGCACAGAGTTAAATATAGACTCTCATTCATCTTTTAACATCAAGATTAACACTGTGACTAAAAAGCAATTTGATTGACATGTAGAAATGCACTTTTCCTTCTGAGGTTGCTTATCAGAAAATGTCATACCAAAATCCTGCCTGTTTCACATACTACAGCGGTTGTAAAATGATGTGGCGAAATAACCCACTAGTTACTGATTAGCCGCTGTCTCATGCTGTGGGACTGTTTGCACTAAGGTCTGTGGTATGACCTGTAGCGTGACCCGTATGTATGACGTCAGAGAAATATCTCGAAGAGTATAAGATATCTGGCAGGTACTCAAGTCATAATTTGATTTACATAACCTGTCAGCATGATTCTGTATCCGAATAGCTTTTCAGATTTGCCCCATGCCCACAAGAGGGCAGCAAGAGCTATGGGGGTAATTATCTCAAGATGACTGTATGTGGATCTATGCACACAGAATGCCTCAGGGATTTTTTTCACACATGGGCATCAGAATACATGGCCATTGAAAGAGTCTTTTCAAACACTGAATGTTGACATCATAAGGTGAATGACCCTTTTTGTGTCAATATTTCTACACTGATAAATTGTATGACGTTCAAAGTTTCTAAATGTGCATTCCACAGTTCTAAATAACAGTGTCTGTGACCTCTCATATCTGTCTGTCTGCAAGTCATCCTTTTTAAATGCTGATGCGTTTATCGTTATTGATATAGCAAAGAAACCTATCCACAGTGACAGACAGACAGATAGATAGACAGACAGATGATTATATATATAGACAGATAGATAGACAGATAAATAGACAGACAGATAGATAGATAGATATTATTTTAACTATTTTAATGTAAAATTGCCTAGTTAATAAAACTTTTACATGTTTTTTTTCCTTTTAAAAAAATTTTTCTTAATATTTTACAGTACAACTGTATTTTATTTAAAATATTTAGCATACAGCTAACTAATTAATATAGTATATTGCATTCATTTTCCTTCAAAACTATATCTTCCCCTATAACAATTTTTTTGCAGTGGAAGAACATGCGGTTATTCCGCTGTAAATCTCGCAGATAAACCCGTCATCTTGTGGGACTGGGGGACACGGGCGGGGCTTCATTACACGCCACGCCCTTTAACTTTTGAATATTAAAATTAGGCATGCGTTTGCCACCCCCATTAACTGAACTTGGTGTCTTGAATGCGCATTCAGTCAGTCGCGGACAAACGCTCCCATGGCTTCTGTGTAATGTATACCCGCCGCTGAGAGAGAGAGAGAGAGAGAGAGAGAGAGAGAAGCAGAATAAGAAAGATAAGAATTTCAGATACGCTGGGATAATAGGAGGCAGTTTTCTACACACTGGAGAGTAGTCTTCTGAAAGAAATAAAGTTGTTCTTCACCCGTGCATGTTAAATCGGGGAGTACATTAGAGCCGTGAGGCGGCTACAACTTCTGAGTCTCAAAGCAACACCAACAAGAAGGCATGATTGTGCGACGGAGTTCAGTATTTTCTGCTTTTTACCTTCATGCCTTTTTGTTATGCTTGCCGACGAAGGTAAGTCTGTTTTAAATAACTTAAATGTTTTTTCTGTCTTTGTGTTATTTATTTTCAAAACATACAACACAAAAAGATATGTATTAGGCTATAAAACAGCATATATACACGTATCTTGACAAATATCTTAGGTGTGGTATAAAAACAACCTTGTTTGGACCTCTAAGCAGCGCAAACGTTCTGTATCGTTCAATTTGACACTGACAGATTGGCAGACAAGTTTAGTTATTCCACAAAACCTGACACATTTGACTTTACTGCACGTTATATACACGGATTTAAAGTTTGCTCTGCTCAACAGGTGTCTGACGCATCGGGGCACTTCGAGCTGGAAATCGTATCGATGCAGAATGCGAACGGCGAGCTGCAGAACGGCTTGTGCTGCGACGGCGAGAGGAACCCGGCGGATCGCAAATGCACGCGGGACGAATGTGATACATATTTTAAAGTTTGTCTGAAGGAATATCAATCGCGAGTTTCCGCGGCTGGGGCTTGCAGTTTCGGAACTGGATCTACGGCCGTTCTCGGTGGGAATAAATTTTCGACCAAGGGAACGCGGAGTGGAAAGTCAAGGATTGTTTTACCCTTCAGTTTTGCGTGGCCGGTGAGTAGATGCCCCTCCTTTCTCATGGCGATTTCTTGTTTTAGAGCATATTTAATGAGGTCAGAGCGGGTTATGATGACGCTACGTTGGTGATGCATCGTAGCAATGTTTCGATCCACGTGCGCGGTTTGTCCTGGAGTTTATACCTGCTCGAGTGCATGACACCGTACACAACAACAGCCCACTAAAATCGAGAACTTAAGTTTAATCACTGCATTACATTTTCAAAGTGGTGCCAAAGTTCATTACACTAGTCAACCACTTTGAATTTGTTTACGGATGAAGAAAGTGATAAAAGTGATCAAATTTAAATGCTAAATGGATGTAAGCAAAGATGTTTCTTTGGCAAAACATTTATAAATGTCTTGATTAGAATTTTGTGCTATGTTGACAAGTGACCTGCAGTAAATTCACTCCTCGTGATGATCATTTCAGTGTATACTTTTTAGCAGTCAGCTAACTTGGTAAATAAATACATCAAAATAAACAGTTATCTTGCACCTACTCAACCTCTTAATTTGTGTCACTGCATTAGAATGCAAATAAAAGAAGATTTGTTTGGTGTGAAGCACGTGAGCCGAAGCCACAGAGGAGAGATTTACCAATGTTCGTCTTGCAGCTCTAAAGAATTTATGAGTTGACCATGATCTCTTGAAATGGTAGTCATCTGTTTAAGGGGCTTTTATAACCTGTGTTATCAAGTCAGTCTAAACTGCAGGTGATTTGCAGTAAACCTGTGTGTTATGATATGCAGCAGTGTAATGGAATCCCTGCTGTAGTATGTAGTGTGTGATGTCTGCCAACATGAGGGTCAGATTTTAGCTGTATTAACTAAATAAATTCTGGGCCTGTGAACCCCTGGGGGTCCCTGAAGGTACTCCAAGTGGGTCAATGGAGAATGTAGGCTAGATAAAACATACTTTTTTAGGACATTTCTGGTTATGTTCTGGTTATGATATGTTATGTAGTGATGTTAGTTAATATTCTTAATGAAAGTGTTGCTCTGAGAAAATCTAGCTCTTTTTATACTCGGGGTCACAGGGTTGGCTGAGAGTCTGGTTGGGGGTCGTAAGGGTTGTAAACCTTGGTGTAGTGTAACCTTAAACGGTTTATTTTTGTAGCAATACCTTTGTTGGAGCTATTTTAGTGGTATTGATCTACTTGATACAGTTTTCTGTGATTCTCCATTCGGAAATAGATATTCACAGGATTCCCACGGTCCTGTAAAACATGAAAATGTCAGGGAATGTGATTTTGAGGCCTGTAAAAGTTAGATATTAATCAGATCTTAAAAGTCATGGAATAGTTGGTCTTTGTTTAGAAAGTGTGGGAACCCTGTGTTCGTGTTAATTTCTCAGGAGCTCTTGACTGTGAGGATGTTGCACTGTCCTTTCGCACGTTCTGTTGGCATGAGCACTTGTGCACCTGCTTGCCTGATGTAATTGTGGATACATTCTCAGCGGGATCAAAATGATAAAAAAAAAAATTCAAAGGACAAACTGTCAGTCTGACAAAGAAAACGTGTCCCTGTTTGAACTGTTCGCCCCAGTGAGTTGCCCATCTGTCCACTATGTGAACTAGATGGCCAGCGGGCATGTGTTGATCATATAACACTCCAGCTATTTTTGTGATGTCCACTTCCAAAGAATACTGCAAAATTACGATATAGCACTCTTCAGTCGGTCACTAATTATTTTTTCGGTTGGCAGCGGGGGAGAGTTGAAGTTTTTTAGGCTTTGTGTCAGTCACAGCTGACTGGAGACTAGGTATTGCACCTTTTAACTTTGCAACCCTCTGTAATTACTCTCAGCAAGTTCCCAGACACAACAGCCAAACCTCGTCGCCAAACTTTAAATGTTTCATTTACAGCCATACCACCCATTTATTTTGCACCTTTTAGTGAATTTGATTGCCCCATGCTTTTAGATTTAGAGAGGGTGTAGAGAGACAAATAGAGCGAGAGAGAGAGAGAGAGGGGGTTTTAGGCATGGCCCACCCAGACAGAGCCAGCTTCAGCGAACATGAAACAGGGGGTGACAATAGCCGGGCCAAACTGGCTACAGGGAGGATTACTGTGCATACTGGAGCCAGTCCAGGAATAATGCCGGCCCAGGGCAAGCAACAGGAAGCTGCGTTCGACTCAGCAGTGATGAGATCGGCTCCTAGACAAACCTGCCCCAGCCCTGACCTTACTTCTCATACTGGCCGTTTCAGCAAATTACAGCGCTGCTCTCTGGCCCCTTGGCCCTGAATGCACCTGGGGCCTGTCTGCTCAGCGTGAGCCAAAAAGCTGGTTCACCAACAAATTGGATAATTCCTTTTTTCCTGTCCCATCTTCTATTCAGCTTAATGGTCTGTGAACCCCGTTCCCTTTCCTAAAAGCCAAACTAGAATTTATGTGTGTATTTAATTCATGTCCCTTTCAAAGTAAACACAGAAGTAATCCAAACCATATTTTAAAGTCTTTCTTTTGCTTGTCTGAGCACATTCTGTCCATTTCTCGTGCTATTGGAAAAGACAGCATGCAGGCTGAGGGTCGGTGTGGGAATAAAAATGCAGGTGAACCGTCCACAAGCCTGAGGTAAAGAGCTACGGGCAGCTAAGGGGATAATGACATGTTTGCTTTATACAGTCTCCTCTGATGTGGCACTTAAGCGCAAATTACTCAAGTCGTTGAATGAGGAAATGCATCATTTGCCTTTTTTCTCACCCTTGTTAAGGTCTTGAATGAGGCAATGTTAGGACATTGTAATGTAGTGTAGTACTGTACTTGTAGTGATGTTTTGTTTAGCTAACTTTTCTCAATCACCTCACACGCGACTTACTTAATTCAGACTCATGATGTTACCAGGGAACATTTTGTTGTATTGAGAGGTCTAATCTTGAATACACACCCTTTGACTGGATATCTGACAGCTGATGTGCCGTTTGATCCGATTCTCTCCTCAGTCCCTGCCCGCGATCGCCTTCTTGAGTGACAGGAGATTAGATGGCTGCCAGTAGCGCTTATGTGCACACAGGTGACTGACAGACCTGTTATCAGGGAAGCCTGTCTCATTTTCCACGCCAGAGAGAGCAGTGAAAGATTGTCAAAAGCTTTCCCTGCTAGCCCCCCTTATCTCCGGCCAGCACTCCTGATAGGAATCTCCCACAAAAAAGGCCTTCCTTCTGTGATTGCACCTCCTGAAAGGCAAAAAAGGGCATCCTTCTTGGTCATAGTCTAGTTTTTCAAGCTGCTAATGTAAATCCTGTTGACTTTGATTGATTGGAATCTGGCGGAGTACATCCGGAGCCATTGTTGAGAACGTTTGTCACTCTACATGTCAGCCTCTCCTTATTAGCAATCAGACTTTTACCAGCCGAGATATCACTTGACAGATTCCCACAGCGAGTCAGTGTGATAAAAGCAAAAAACGAGAAGCCTAGGCCCTTTGTAGAAGCCGAAAACGTCCCATATCAGAGCTCAAGGAGTTTGGGAGTAAATGTAGACCTTTATCAGATGTCTGTGCAGGCCTAGAATGATAAAGCAAATGCAATGTAAAGTTTGGGAGTCTGCTGATGGGGATAGTGAGCATTCAGTGATGACACTGAGGTCAGTGACAAGCATGGGAAAAATGAACCTGGCAGCAGCAGGCATTTAGAGCTGATAAACAGATTGTGAGTTATGAAGTGAGATCCACAGCGGCCCTTTTCTTTAAAACTTCCTCTGCTTCTCACCAAAAAACTGTCATTCATAGAATAGTCTGTTTGAACCCTTATAGGGCACAAAACGTTCCTGTTGCTCAAAGAGTAGATAGAGCATGTCACTAGCAACGCCAAGGTCATGTGACTTTGGATAAAATCATCTGCCAAATGCATAAATGTGAATGTAAAACTACATAATGTCAGGAAAACCAATTGCTTAGGTTAAGGTTAGGTAAGTCCATCAGCTTTTTTAGTCGCCGTCCTGTTGCCCCTGATCTGATGAGAGGTTGTGCTAGCTCATGTCCGGACATGTCAGTTATAAACGGCAGCGAGCACTTTCAAACACATGTGTGGAAGTGCAGAGCAGCTGAAATCAATGAGCTGTGCGCTTGATATACATAAACTGCCAAGATTTGTTAATTCAATGGGGGCCGTGATTCAACATCATGTTTGTGTTCACATTGCGTTCAAGTGTGGATAAGGAGAGAAAGGACAAGGTGTATCTTAACAGAGGTGTCACAGCTTGCATCAAATAAACTGATATTTGTACCCATATATCAAACTGATATTTGACAACCATAAGCACAGTGACTGTGAGATGGCTGAGTAGCTGGTTAGTGAGTTTGAGAAGTGTAATTTTTATTTATTTATTTATTTTTAGCACCTGTGCTTTAATAAGTGCTTGGACATTTTGCACAGTAAAACTTTCTCAAAGTAGTTGAGTAGTTTTGTTTAATGCACTTTAGCATTACCGCTACATGCAGATGGACGTCCTTGGCTGTTGTATCTTGGCCATACATGCTGTTTTTTGGGAAATTAGTTTAAAATACTACCAAAAATGTCTTGACTAAATATGTCGATTTGGATCTTGATATTCTTCAGTGCATCGAGACCAGAATGGCGCAGACTAATTTTAGCTTTTTGTGCAGTAAGAGGTGCTGTGCGTTGGTTTGTTTGAATGGTGTGGTGTAGGGGACTCAAGGTCCATCCTTGCTGCAAACGGACAGTGAGAACTTTGGTGATGTTGGAAATTCCATGGTCCCTCGTCAAGAGTACGAGTGTGTGAATTTGACAAGTAGGTGCCGAAAAGAGACGCTTCAGTTCTGGCACAGGCACGTTCGCACACACGCTCGTTTTCTCTCATACGCTTCTGCTTTTTTCGATCAACTTCTAACGCTAAATCCTAGATATGGACGCTTATTTTATTCTCTCAGGCGGAGTAATCTCTCTCTATTTCTCTCTCTCCGTGACTCTTGTTACCTGATACCGGTGAGAGCCATGATGACCTTAAGTCAGACAAAGCGTTTCAGAAGTGCTGAAATGTAGCCAAGCCCTCCAGAGATCTCGGCCTGCATTGGAGTCATGCTAAAAGCAGCCCACCCCCCGCAACTCCCTCAGATCCTCACTCCACATTCCACTCCGTGGGGGAAAAGAGGAACAAAACGCAGCACACAAAAGACCTGAAAGCGAGAAGTGAAAGGGGATTTTTGTGGGTTTTTCAAAGAAACAAGTTCACTTTCATTCTGCAATTTTCTTCTTCTCGTAACTGTTTCTGTCATATATGTGAGGTAATTATGCAGAATGGACATTAGTGGGAATTTATTAGTATGTATGTATTGTAAGGCATTCTGTGGAAGAAATTACAAATATATATATATATATATATATATATATATTCCCATTGCTCAACTGGTACAGAAAAGAAGTCCACAATTTGAATTCTGCCACTATTGCTTAAGAGCACTCAAATCTGCATATATTTGCCAATAACCTGAGCCATAAATGTAATTTGACTAATCACATGATGACATCAGCCAACCAGTAAATCTGTGACTGGGGGGAAAAATGACATCATCAAGGAGTTGCTGATTGGCTGATGGCACCACAAGAACATTTACAATCCCAAACTTTTCACTTTTGTAAAAAGTTTGTATCATGAGTTACATGAGTTACATAGTATCATGAGTTCATTTCCCACTTTTAAAAGTGGTTACCATAAAATATCTTAGAATTCCATAGAAAAAAAAAAAGTATTTCAATGGGAAAAGTTGTTTTTTTTGCCCCCTAATGGTGTAGTTATGACATCTACCAGTAGGTTTTACTTGCCAGCCACTGTGGTATTCTTGGAGTACCATGTAAATAATGTGGTACATGGATATGAATCATTCATTATCATTGTATATATTAAAGAACTATGATGCAGCCATCCAATTCCATCAGTGTTTCTCAACCATCCAATCTGTCAAACTGCAAATTTAATGGCAGTTTTGCAAAATACAGTTAGTACAAATATAGTAGGACTCCTTTGAATGTACAAAATGTTGGACCTAATATCCTTACAATAACCACTGAACTGATGCCACATAACTGTCAGTGAGACTAACACGACCAAGTGATTCAGCTCTACTAGACCCTCACATAATAAACACACACACGTAAAAGAAGTTTGAGGTCTGTCATTTCTGGAAATGTCATTATTATCTGGGGGAAAAATTCAGAATGGAGAGAAACGGCCTGATGCTGCAATGCTCAAGCCTAAATTGGTTTAATTTGTTTTGCATTCTTATTACTTGGTTTGAATTTCCATTTTTTTTAATGCATTTTATGTATGTAATAATTTTATCTTTTATTATCATTACAAAGGGGATTTCATCTTTAATCTCATGTTATATGAATAAGGATTTTTTTTTTACTTGTTTCCATGTGAATTACTTGGTGCTTATTGTAATGATTTTTTTTATTGTAAAGCACTGTGAGCTGCATTCCATGTATGAAAGGTGCTTTACAAATTAAGTTTATTATTATTACTAATATTATTATCATTTCTTTATTCATTATTATTATTAATGTTATTATTATTATTAAAAACTTTTGTAAAGGAACAGCTCAAATTGCACAAAATGTAATAGTTTAATTTTATGTGCACAAGCAAATAAGCTTGAATTAACAAATTTCATGATTAAATAATGTTATGAAGTGTCACTCAGCTGTACTGCGAAGGTTAAAGTTAAACAACAGTCTCCCATTGTCATATTACCAAATCATGGATGCTTGTTGATCTATTCTGCCAGTCATTGTTTAAATAGTAAAGATGGTGATACTGTATCTACCCAAAGTTTCAGGAGAGCACTACCAGATAAGGTGAAGGTTGTATTATTCTTCTGATCTTTCACGGCACATTTCGCAGCGTGTCCCCATGGTCACATTTTGTCATTGGTGTTTATTGGTTACGAGTCAAGGTCCCTGACTAAAGCTCTGTTTATGTAAAATGATCTTTGATGTTTCTGTGTTGAATGTTTTGGTTTCATTGCTGACTGCATGTGGGTTTTTCTCTTCCAGAGGTCCTACACGTTGATAGTGGAGGCCTTGGACTTCAATAACGAGACCACCAGTGAAAGTGAGTAGCAGGATCTTTTGCTGTTTGTTTTGCTTTTTGTTTTTATTTGCTTTTTGGTTGATAGATTGTCTGTTTTGTTTGTTTCTCTCTTTGATGTTCTTTCTTTGTTTCTTGCTTGTTTGATTTGTTTCTATTTCTATTTTTGTTTTTGTTTTATTTTGTTTCTTCTGCATAACTTTTTTCTTTTGTTTAAACTTTGGGAAACGTAAGAAATTAAAGTTTGTTTTGTTTTCTTCTGCATTTTTTTCTTTTTAAACTTTGGGAAATGCAACAAATTTAAGTTTGTTTTTCTACCATTTCCGCTCATAGCTTGCTAGTCTTTAAACCAAATGTGCTGACAGGTGTATGTGACAGGACAGGGAAAAGAAGAAGAGGAAGACCGTGTGCGTGCGTGTGTCTGTGAGAAACATTGTTGAGGGGGCCTCATGCTTATGAAAATGTTTCCGAATACCTGATGACTAATGGCAAGTGTTGGCAGTCAAGGTCTCACGGCCTCTCTGTCACGGTGCATAGCTCAAGCACAAGGTTATGTTTGCTATAACCTCTCTCTTCTTACACCTCAACAGGGCTTAACACTTCAGAAACAATTCCATTTAGACACTAAACTGAGTCTGGTGGAGTTCATTTGAATAGCTCGTCTGGGTTGTGTTACCATTAACTTTGATATAGCGACTTTCAGCCATGATCCAGATATTTTGAGTTCAAATTTTTTGTTGCAGAAAAGCTTATGTTGAAGTTGTACTCTTGTTTTGTACTTTACAGTATTTATCAGGTTATAGACTGCATATGCCAGTGGTTTCTCTGATCCTAGAACCTGTCATTTTGGATTGGTTGTCTTTTCAATTAATTTTTTATATGTGCCCTGCTACATTTTAGAGGTATTTTTTTCTGTTTATTGGATTTGAATCTTTGAATGGAACATTAGAATCTGGAAATCCCCAAATCTGTAGCCAATTCAGACTTGCCTTCATTTGTGATTTTGCTGTATTTTGAGAAGATTTTGTAACTTTAGGTTTATGAATATCGCAAAATATCATATTGTCAACCAAAGGTAGATTTTGGCCAAAAAACGTTGAAAGCAATACCAGCTCAAACAGTAGAACATGCTGCTAGCAACACCAAAGTCAGAGAAATGTAGGAAATGTATAAACCGATCACACAGTACCTGAAATACATTCTAAGTTTCTTTGGTTAAAAGTGTTAAATGCATTTGACAAACACTTTCATCCATACACTACCATTCAAAAGTTTGGGGTTGGTAAGTTTTTTTAATGTTTTTTTGAAAATATTGTTTAAATTATGCTCACCTAGGCTGCATTTAAAAAAAAATCAAAAATACAGTAAAACATTCATATTGTGAAATATTATTAAAAAAAAATTTTTTTAATTATATTTTTATATGCTACAATGTAATTTGTTCCTGTGATGGCAAAACCACATTTTCAGCAGCCATTACTCCAGTTTTCAGTGTCACATGATCCTTCGTAAATCATTCTAATATGCTGATTTGACACTCAAGAATCATTTCCTATTATTATCTATGTTGAAAACAGTTGTGCTGCTTAATATTTTTTGAAAACCTGTATTTTTTGAAAAATTTTAATTTGGTAACACTTTGGATTAGGGAACACATATTCACTATTAACTAAGAGTTTTCCCTCAATTTCCTCCTAATTTGCTGCTTATTGATAGTAAGTAAGGTAGTTGTTGTAGTAGTTATGTTTAGGCATGGAGTAGGGTTAAGGGATCTAGAATATGGTCATGCAGAATAAGGCTTTAATATGTGCTTATACTAGCAAACAGCCAATGTGCTAGTAAAGAAAAAGAAAACTTACTGATCCCAAACTTTTGATTGGTTATAAATCAAATATAGAACTATATTCATATACATAATTGTCCTTAGTAGAAATTGATTTTAATTTTTGCTAGCAACTCTCCTTATTATTTGTCCTGAGAGCGCAGAGGTTTTTTCTATCACTTTAATGTGACTTCCTCGCCCCACAGTGAAGTGGATCAGGCTGCAGGTAGTAAAGACATGACACTTGGCTCTGGCTGTAGGGTTTAGGGTGCAAGTGAAATGCCACAATGACCCTCTGCATTCCAGAGTCCTATGAACTATAGGCCCACCTTGCCTCCATAATATCATCTCTTTTCACTCTTTCTACCTCCTCTAGGAATCATATAAATAAATCTACCCATGTTGCATCAGTTTGCGGAGAACTTTAAAGATAAGAGTTTATGTGAAAGGGAGGAATAGACATTTCACAGTACCCTGTTATAGTCATATTCAGGAATAAAATGGTGAAAGATGTGAGCTGTCAGCTTACCTCATCTTCTGCGGGTAGAAACAGCAGAATTAAGAATAGAGATGGGAAGTTTTGTCTTGTTAGGGTAGAAGTAGATTTACATCACTGTAACAATAAAAAATGCTATTGTTATTTTTGCTGGAGACAAAAAGTTTATATAGCCTAATTAATAGGCATGTGGTAATTAAAATTTTGGGATAAAGCAGTGAATAAAATATTCACTGGATACATATTGGAACGTGAACACAAACAAATAGCTAATTATTCAAAAATTTTGTAAATTTAGACTCAAAACATTGAATCTAACATTGTAAAATGGATTTCTAATGGTATTAGCCATGTTTGAAGCTGTTCTAAAATATAAAAAGCAACTTGAGACGATGCTTGGCGACTGCAAAAAGTGTAAACTTTGCTTCACGTTTGCCAGTGTTCAAATCCATTGTGGCCACCTGGGGGTCTCCAGACCCCAGTTTGAAAACCCCTGCTCTAATCCACTTCTCTGCATGGGATCTGAATCTTCTGGGTGAATATGTCACAGAGAGAGAGAGAGCGCAAGACAGTGTTTATTCACTGATGTCATGAGTGCTGGCTGCCAATAGGATTACATATTGTTTGCACAATGTAATTAATAGTGAATGTGGCTTTTCCTTCAGCTATAGACATGAGGGGTCATTTTAGGCCAGCTATATCTTTAATCTGTGAGCAACTAGATATTGAGACATTAGATATTTTTCCTGGTTAACCTTTAACTCTTGAATTGTGTGTGGTGTTATTGTGTCAAGGCCTTTCTGAGTGTTACACATTGACTGTTCAGGTGGAAAGCTCATCGAGAAAGCGTACCACTCTGGCATGATCAACCCAAATCGACAGTGGCAGAGGCTGACCCACAACGGCCCCATCGCCCAGTTTGAGTATCAGATCCGGGTCACCTGCGATGAACACTACTACGGCTTTGGCTGCAACAAGTTCTGCCGGCCACGTGACGAATTCTTTGGACATTACACCTGTGATCAGAATGGCAATAAGACCTGCCTGGAAGGATGGACGGCTCCTGACTGCAATACGGGTGAGCAAGTAGACTATGTTGCTGCCACATTTTTTTTTTTTTTGCATTTACTTAATCAAAACTACAGTAAAAACAGTAATATTGTGAAAATAATATTTCAGTATAAAATAATTGTTTTCTATTTTAATATATTTTAAAATGTATTTTTTTCAGTTTTCAGCAGCCATTACTCTAGCCTTTAGTGTCACTTCAGAATACTTTCTAATATACTGATTTGGTGCTCAAAAAAATTTCTTATTGTTATCAATGTTAAAAACATTGCTGCTTAATATTTTTGTGGAAACTGTCAATTTTTAGGATTCTCTAATGAATAGAAAGTAAAAAAAACAGCATTTAAAATATAGTCATAAAAGTCATAAAAATCTTTAAAAAATCTCCAAACTTTTGTACATTTTCCAATTATGCTGAACTGAAATGTTATTATATGATAAAGTATATAATATAAAATATTATACTTTAAAATAGAAATGTATAAAAAAATTTATTTATATACTGTATCTCTATTTAACAGTCATTAAGGACAGGACATTGTGTTCTTACCTCTTAATCAATTTCATTGGTTTGGGCATCTCTGAATGCATCTGATAATAAAGTAAAATGGTTTGCAAACAGTTGCCATTTTAAGAGGCTGGTGGGTGAGAGTGATAGTTTGGAATAAGTGGTGAATGGAGAGCGCGGCACCCGAAGCCTGACGACGGGACTCAAATTAGAGTAGGATTCAGTAAGGCTGGTCAGGGGGTTGAAAGATTTCTGCCCTATACATTGCCAAAATGTTTTCATAAGTGAACAGGGGACATTGAGGCTCATGGTGTACATAGCCCAGCAAGAATGGGGAACAAACTTACTCTCATTCATCCATTCCCACTCTTTCTGTTTTCCAGCGATCTGCAGACAAGGTTGCAGCACCGAACATGGATCTTGTAAGCAACCAGGTGGCTGCAAGTGAGTTATTTGCAATATTATTCTTTATTCTTTTAACATTTTTATGGCATTTCCTGCAAAAAAGTATATATTTTTTTAATTTTGTCCTCAGCCTTGCTCTTTAACATTTTGAGCAACAAGTCAAGCCTTGTTAAAGAGTGAAAGATGCAACAGTACAAGCTTTCACCACAACTAGAGGCTTATGGTTAAATCTTGTTAGAATCCATGTGTCCTGTTTGACCTATCAGGGTCTGATAGCCCAAGCTCTGTTTCTGTTCAACAGACAATGAAAGCACAGATTACTGACATCCACCTACAAATATGCAACATGGCTGGCGTTTAGCAGTGAGACGGTGTCAATAAGGCCATGTTGTAGAGACAACTGAAGCACAAAGCTATTTTTAGCCATTTTGTTTTTTGCTTTTGTCTGGCAAGATGTTGAAGCCTTATCTACAAACCATAATCTGCCAAGTTCAACCTTTAATTGGGTTTTAAAACGCACTGCTTGTTTTACAAATGATGTTTGAATTTGGCCACGGGGAAGAGAAAACGAAGCGTATCTGTGTGTTTGTGTACAGCTATAGCTCAGTGATTTATGAGTGCATCATAAATACTTTTGTAACACTGATGCACATCAAAATAGGTCATAAACTAACTGGCTTGTTTAATATGTAATAAAATAACATGGTGGTTTTATTCTATTGTGTTGTTTACCTAAAGAACAGAATTTGAAGCTATTTTGTGGGGGGGTTTTCCATCCTTCCATAGCAGCATGTTTTCCTAGACTGTTTCTTAAGTTAGGGTTTGCTTCGTAATGTGTACGATTGCAGCATGCATTGGAAAAAATGCATAAACAAGGCTTTCTGAAGTTATTTGCTTCATCATAAAGGAATGCATCATGTGTAACTTATTTGTGGTGAGTAGGGCATCGAGTTAATGAAAATTGAATTTCTTGCACAACAAACTAATCTTCTATTGGTTGGGGCAAGTCATGGCAGGTTTTGCATTGGGCTTTTTCTGCTTTTCCGTTGGTTTGTTATAGGTATTCACATGTTTTCTGGTCTGACGTTAATGATGTTTTATTACGATGTTTTGTTTGACTAATTCTCATCATTGTACCATCGCTGAAAGCGTTCAAGATCAAGGCTAGAAGTCTACGGAATTCAATGTATACTAAAACCTCAGCTCTTTGTTACATTTGGCATGATTATATCCCATTACCTATTCATCTCTCACTGAAAGCTTGCCAGAACACACAACCATGCAATTGTGCAACTGTTGTAACAAGAGCTCTTACTGTGCTAAATCGGAACCGCCAAGGCCTACAGTCGAGGTGAAAATCTTTCTCAGCCATGCAGATTTAACGTCATATTTCTGCTTCAATATCATTCAAAGTCACTTCTAAGACATTGCTGATGTGAAATCTTCTCGCACGTTTAAGAATAGTTGTCTTTAAGAGAGGTTTCCTCAATCACCGTGTTTATTTTTACAGCTGAACTGCCGCCTCAGGCTAATTGTTTTCTTTTTCCCCAGAGGGCAGTCTGTTTTCCTGTGGCTAAGTGCTCAAGTGACTTACTATCTCATCTGAGTCCTTCTTTAAGGAGCAGGTTATCTCGCTCGGGCTGTTAAATTACTGCCATCTAAAGGGGGGAGTGTAGAGCTATTGCTGAGCTGTTTTGGAGATGGCTTTTAATTACAGGCTTAGAGATATTCTGCGGCTGTATGTAGATCTGACTCTGTTTTCTTCGTTCCCGGGGCGGAGAACAGCTACATGGGAACAGGAGTGAGAATGCAAAATAACCTGACATAAATCCATTGGCCAATGGAGCAGTTTACAAACACAGTCCTCCCCACCACCCACCCAGACAGTCCGAGCAGTTCTGGGGCCAAGCTGCTCCGCTTTTATTGAGACAGAGTGTCCTGCCACAAGCTAATGTTAGTCTCTCTAAAAGACCCAGTGGAGTTTTAAAGCTGCTGTTTGTTGTTTGCATGGCTTGGCATTAAATAATCAGACAAGAAGTTGTCGGCGTTTCCTTTTTCCCAGTGGACTGGAGTGAACTTTTAAAAAAGAGTTTATGAAAGGGTAACCTTTTAGCATTGAATGCCCTGAAAAACAATACTTTTCTCAAAGTTTTGATTAGTACTTTGAGAAAATTATGGCAGATTATGCTTCAGAAAATCACTACACATTGTTTTTGTGTAGTGTTGTTGTTATAACAGTACGTACTTCTTTAACCCTGACACCTATTGAGAAAATGAGAGAACTGGATAAGCAAACTCTTTCTAAAAGTGGTGTTGGTGGATATTATTTGAATTTGTCAAAGGGTAAACAAGAACATTTTCTTCTCTTTAATCAAAATAACATGTCATTAAAGTAATATTGTGTTGAAATTTGTTTTGCACTGTTAATCGTGAAATTACTGACTTTGTTATTCATTCTGTTCATGATAACTGAATAACTAATAATACACATACATATATATATATATATATATATACACACACACATAGAGTTTTATCTACTTTGCACAACTGGAAAAATTAATGAAAAAAATGAATGTGACATGACAAAATATTGACTAAATGTAGTGGGCATTTTGGTCCAAAAAAAAAAAAAACTGTAAAAATGAACACTACCACTATGCAGAAAATTCCTCTGGTATATATACTGACATTTAGTGACACTTGCAGTTTTTAGTGGTCATTTTCCATTTATGAAACCTTACCTTAGTGTATATTTGTCTTTTTCAGGTGTCTGTATGGCTGGCAGGGTCCGTACTGTGATAAGTGCATCCCTCACCCGGGCTGTGTACACGGAACCTGCGTTGAACCCTGGCAGTGCCTCTGTGACACTAACTGGGGTGGACAACTCTGTGACAAAGGTAAGCACATTTTCATTTTATTTATTCTCTTTTTTCTTTTTCTTTTTTGCTTCCTAACATTCAATACTAATACTGAATGTTCTTACCTCTTAGATTTAAACTACTGTGGAACTCACCAGCCATGTCTGAATGGAGGAACGTGCAGCAATACAGGGCCTGACAAGTACCAGTGCTCTTGTGAAGACGGCTACTCTGGGGTCAACTGTGAACGAGGTGAGTCTATCATGCTATAGTCTTGCTAGCCACACTTTCAAACAATGGCATAAAGTCTGGTTCAGTTTGCAGATTTTGGCCAAAAACGTCCAATTAGTCACGAAAGGTCTGTCTGACTGACATGAATAGTGGCCAGTCACACATTGTTTTGTTTTATGTGCTCTTTAGGTGTTGGCTGAAATGGTGATTCTTGCCATTTTGTATTCAATATGCATCAGTTAGTGAAAAGACTGAAGCTAGTTGTTTTGTATAGCAAATATCTGTATTGTGCTTTCTCAAGTGTTCTTTTTCCTGCTTCTTTGTTTTGTTATGTTTTTTCGACATAGTTGACCTCCTCATTCCATTTTAAGCGCTCCCTTTTTATGTTTTGCATTTAAATATGGTGTGTTTGAAGTAGAGGTCTACACGGGTCCAAAAATCCGTACCCGAACCCGAAGAGACCCGTTAATATGCTACACTGAACCGACCCGGACCCGTCTATTATTTTGAAAGTTGGACCAGGGCCCGTGCAGAACCGAGAAATGTCAAAAATGTACTACCCGGAACCGACGCGGACCGTCAATTATTTGAAAGATGGACCCGAAGGGCGGGAAGACACAGACCCGACTGGACCCGATCGGCACATATTCCACAGCAAATTGCTATTAACAAGTTGCGAAAATTAAACTTTTTGTCTTACCTAATGTAAGAAGCCTTCGGGTCCCGGGTCCTCGGGTCTCGGGTCCTCCGTGTAGACCTCTAGTTTGAAGTTCCTAATGCTTGTGAAAAGCTCTACACTGTAAAAATTGGTGTTTTACAAAAGAAATTTGAATTTCATGGGTAATTTAACATGTTATTTGCCATTTCTTTGTAATTATTTGTGAAATTTACTAGCAATTTCTAATTGAAAATTGTTTCAAAGTACACCAATTTTTTTTCCCAGTGTACAAGAATTTTTATTTGAAGTTAAGGTTGGTTCTGGCCATGTCTGTCAGCCATCTGCGATGGACGATGGCATCGTCTATGGGCCCAACCCTAATGCATAGCATTATAAAGAATCACTCCATGCACTGTTAAACATAAATTTGCAAAAATGGTACCTTTTTGGGGTAGTGCCTTAAAAAGGATGGGTTTGTACTTTATCTAGCCCTAAAAGGTGCAAATTACTACCTTAGAGTAGTATATGTACCCTTAAGATACTACTATGCACATTTTAGGGGCAGATAAGACAAAAATTTGTCCCTTAGAGGAACAAGCTGTTGTTCTGCAGGTACATTTTTTGCATATTGTGTGTATGGTTTATTGTAGCAGTACTGCCCAAACGGTTCACCATCTTTCCCTGTTTATGACTCTGAAACATAATGATGCTGTAGCTGCTTGAAACTTGATACACAGAGCAGTTTAGATGCGGTCATTCAGCCTGAATTTGATTGTCTCATTTTATAAATCTTTACAAGTCATTATGCGCTGCTTTCTGTGTTTCTGTTGGCACAAGTCCATTTTATACACAATGCCATTTTGTTATTGACACCAAGTCAAATTTTGCGGCAGTGTCATTGCATTCTGGTTTAACTAGATAGAAAAGGGCGTAGAGAGCCTATGGGGGATCAGGTGATGTCAGACCTCGGGCCTTAACTGTCTACAGTGTCAGGAAGGGCGCCCAGGTCTTCTAATCCTCTGTTATGATATGTCCTGCCAGTGGATCTCGTCTGTTTTGACAGTCAGTGGTTGGATGGGTATAGTAATGAAATCTGCCAGATGGACCGTCATGGCTTTTTTCCTCCCCATCCTCCTCTCGGATTCATATGATCCAGATTCAAGCCCTCAGGGTGGTGAGTGACAACCTCCTGAGGCAGTGAAATCTTCCTCTATCCAAACCATTGGAGGAATTGTTCCGTCTTAAGCAGGAAGATAAAAGCTTAACTAACTGTTAAGTTAATGGGGTCAGTCATGTGACTGCAGTGCAAAGGTTAGATCAGCATACTCTGGTCACTGTAGATGCAGACTTGAGAGCATATCAGACCTATAGTTCACCCAAAAATGAAAATTGTCTTTATTATACTCATCCACATGTAGTTTCAAACTTACTTTCTTCTATGAAACTAATTTTTATTCGATCATATGGCTTCACAAGAGAGTTTGAAAGAGCATGAGGGTGAGTAAATAATGACAGATTTTCAGGTGAATAATCAATACAAATTGCAAACAAGTGATAAAATGTGCTTGCCTTCACAGCTGAGCACGCCTGTCTGTCCAACCCTTGTGCGAATGGAGGGACGTGCAAGGAGACCAGTCAGGGTTACGAGTGTCACTGTGCAGCCGGCTGGAGCGGCCCATCGTGCAAAATCAGTAAGAAGGCACACAAACACACTCAGAAGATATTCATTAACTCTTGATTTGTCTAACCTGCTCTGATCTCATAGATGTGGACGATTGTACATCCAACCCATGCAAACACGGAGGTACCTGTCAGGATTTGGTTAATGGCTTCAAATGTACCTGCCCTCCTCACTGGACCGGCAAAATGTGTCTGATTGGTGAGAGATTCGTGAAGCAATATGAAGTCTGACTTTCATCATTCATCATGCTTTTAACTGGGAGGTAATCAAATTTTTTTTTGCAAAGATGCCAATGAATGTGAGGACAAGCCATGTGTGAATGCCAAGTCATGCCACAATCTGATTGGTGGATATTTCTGCGAGTGTCTCACTGGCTGGATGGGTCAGAATTGTGATACAAGTGAGTATGACAATCTGTATTTTTCTTTTAATCTCGGCATGTGCTTGTTTAGACTTCTGTCTGCTGTGTTTGACTTAAAAATTCAGACATATTTCTCTCAATTTCAGACATAAATGACTGCCAGGGTCAATGTCTGAATGGAGGAACTTGCAAGGTAGGAGATCTTCTGATCTTTTACTATCAATGCACACTACTGTTCAGAAGTTTGGGGTGAGTAAGAAATTAATACTTTTATTCAGCAAGGATGCATTAAATTCATCAAAGGTGACAGTTAACTTTTATAATGTTACAAAAGATTTCTATTTCAAATAAATACAGTACTTTTAAACTTTCTATTCATCATAAGATTTCCGCAAAAATATTAAGCAGCACAACTGCTTTCAACATTGATAATAATAAGAAATGTTTCTTTAGCACAAAATCAGCATATCAGAATGATTTCTGAAGGATCATGTGACGCTGAAGACTAGAGTATTGGCTGCTGAAAATTCAGCTTCGCCATCACAAGAATAAATTACATTTTATAATATATTAAATTAGAAAACAATTATTAGGAATAGCAATACAATTTCACAATATTTATGTTGTTACTCTATTTTTGAGCAAATAAGTACAGCCTTGGTGAGGATAAGAGACTTTCAAAAACATTAAAAATCTTACTGACCCCAAACTTGTGAACGAGTAGAATAATATTCTGTTTTTTCTTTTAAGCATGAAGGGGCTGGCATGTAAAGTGGCCAAGTACAGCTAGTTATTTTGGATGAGATGTTTAGTGATGGGTTTATCTGAAATCGGATATAACTAAGAACAAAGTGGAATGTACAGGTGTGCTCGAGGATATCCCCTTTAATTGCTACTGACTGCTTCAAACAAAACTCCTGAGTCCCTTTCTTTGTGGCTTAATGCCACAAACCTCTCAAACTCTGACAAATCCAGCGACTAGTTCATCTTCAGAAGGGCTTATTGTAGAAGACTAGAAACTGTAAACATCCAGAACAGAAACATGAACAGTTTATGGGTGTGCCGTCTGAGGCTGACATCTTGATACCATTCATTCTCAGAAGTGCTGTACAAAAAAATGTAAGCCTTCTAAGCTGAAAATGTATTTTTTGGGGGTTAGTGCCAGGAAAGTATGTCTATGGTTACGGCACAGAGATTATTTTATTGTAGCTTAAAAAAAATTAAGTTCTCGCACACATCTTTGACAGGATTTGGTGAATGGTTACCGCTGTCTTTGCCCTCCTGGCTATTCGGGTGAACACTGTGAGAAGGACGTGGACGAGTGTGCTAGCAGTCCCTGCCTGAACGGTGGTCAGTGTCAGGATGAAGTCAATGGATTTCAGTGTCTGTGTCCTGCCGGCTTCTCGGGACAGCTGTGTCAGGTGAGAGATAACTCCTACTTTTTGGTATCTTTTTTTTTTTAAATAAAATACTTGAATCACAGTAACTGTATATACTGTATATTTATTTTTGACCCCTCCAAAACAAAAGATTTATTAAAAATGATTCATAACAGATGAATAAATCTGTTATCAGTACTGAGTCAACCTCACATTATGTAATGGTAAAGCATCAAAACAAAATTGCTCATATAAAGGGGTTGGTAATCTTTTTTGTTTGTGAAAGAAGTCTCTTATGCTCTTTGATCAAAAATACATTAAAAACAGTAATATTGTGAAATATTGTGTTTTCTATTTTAATATATTTTAAAATATCATTTCTTTCTGTGAATTTTCAGCAGCCATTACTCCAGTCTTCTGTCACATGATCCTTCAGAAATCATTCTGATATGCTAATTTGCTTTCAAGAAATATTTATTCTTATTATTAATGTTGAAAACAGTTGTGCTGCTTAATGTTTTTGTGGATACCGTAATTTTTCTCCCAGGATTCTTTGATGAATAGACAGTTCAAAAGAACAGCATTTATTTCAAATAGAAATGTTTTATAACATTGTAATTGTCTTTACTGTCACTTTTGATCAATTTAATGTATCTTAGCTAAATGAAAGTATTCATTTCGTAAAAAAAAAAAATCTTACTGCCCCAAACTCTTAAACAGTAGTGTATACCTTCATCCACCCAGCTCTAGTTGTACCCTAAAGAAAGAGATAGACAAAGAAAGACGGGCTAGGTTTGAGACCGGCAGGGTTTGGCTAGCCCTTTAAAATATTCTTCTGTTTGTTTTTATTCTCCTGAGCGTTTTGGTGCGCTTTTTCCTGGCAGACGCTATGTCGAGGCTGTTGAGGGTTGCTCTGTGTTTTCTATGAATCCAAAAATGCCTGGATATCATTTTCCCCTCATCATTGAGCGCTCTTTTCTCCTCTTGTAAATCTTTCTCTGGTGTAGCTGGATATCGATTACTGCCAGCCCAACCCATGTCAGAACGGCGTGCAGTGTTTCAACCTGGCATCAGACTACTTCTGCAAATGTCCCGATGACTACGAGGGTAAAAACTGCTCTCACCTGAAGGACCATTGTCGAACCACGTCATGCCAAGGTGAGAAATTTCAGTCTCTGTGCCGGATCCTGTCTCGGCATTTCTTTGTAAACCGCCCCTAAAACCCAAAGTAAGCTGATCTGCTGGTTGCATGCCATTGTTCAGCTGCTGAGCAAAACTAGATTACAGGCCTGTGGACTCTCCCACCACCTTCAGGGCGGAAAATGAGAGAAAAAAAAAGAACTCCTATTTTGTTACATGAGGCTTTTTCTGCCCATGGTGAGCTATTTGACAGTAACCTCCCTGGACACACAGCTCACATACACACAGTCTCCTAAACACTTTCTCCATTCCCAAATTCCTCCTGAACATTTGCCAGTTTCTTAACAACTCTGTGTGTGTTCTTCGTGGTAATGACTTGGTGGGATTCTCTGCCTTGGATGTTTAAAAGTGTGTGTGTTTGTGTGTGTTTGAGGAGGGGCAAACCTCACAGCTAGATAAGCCCATCAAGTTTCTTTCAACTCTTTGAGCAGAATCAGGGCTGATGTGCATTAAATGGCCTCCTCACACACTCTTTCTGAAAAAGTAGATGTAAAAAAAAAAATTGTTTTGGAAAGTGAACCCAAAAATATCTAAATAAATTGGATTTCTGTAAAGTGGATGAATGGGAATAGTATAGCTTTTATGTCACAATGAGCCCAGAGATTTGACAGCTGGATTTTGTTCTTTCTCTGAAACCTTTACAGTGATTGACAGTTGCACTGTTGCCATGGTGTCCAACAGTACGCCGGAAGGGGTGCGATTTATCTCCTCAAACGTCTGTGGTCCTCACGGACGCTGCAGGAGTCAGGCCGGAGGCCAGTTTACATGCGAGTGTCAGGAAGGATTCAGAGGCACCTACTGCCATGAGAGTAAGACTAAACATTATTATCGAATTAGAGGGATGCACCGACATTACAGTTATTTTCATTTTATGTCCGATAACCGATAAATGCCTAGTTTTAAAATTCCAGACTATTTTGTCTAAATTAATTAGATTTAAAACACTAAAAACTAAAATCAGTTGTTTTAAATGCTCCAAGTGAATTTACCCATCATAACATTATAATGTACAGTCTGATAAATGGATATTCAATGAGATTTGCTAAAGGTTACATTTAACAGTGTTATTAAGTTATTAGTGTTATTAGTTATCAGATTAACTTTAAGTGCACTTTAGATGACAGCAAAGGTTATCTCAGTGTAAAAATAGAGAAAATGAACTTGCACAATTAAAATTCCAATATCAGTCAATCAGTATTAATTATAGCCACAACGACCAATACCAGTAAATGAAAATCATTCATAGCTGATAATCAACCAATATATTGCGCATCCCTGTCGTCTATGTAGATGATCCTAAATTCTGTGGCGTCTGTGGTCTTTTTTCAGATATAAACGACTGTGAGAGTAACCCATGTCGCAATGGCGGTACTTGCATCGATAAGGTGAACGTTTATCAGTGCATTTGTGCTGACGGCTGGGAAGGAGTTCACTGCGAAATCAGTATGTTCACTTGAATAGATTTTTCTCTGCTTATGCTGAATGTTTGTGCTTCTTTGAGCTTATTTTCTTGTTCTTTTCTCCCCCTTTTTTCAGACATAGATGACTGCAGCTTGAACCCCTGCCTGAACAAGGGAGCATGTCAAGACCTGGTGAACGATTTCTACTGCGAATGCAGAAATGGCTGGAAGGGAAAAACATGCCACTCCCGTACGAAAGACTATTTTTATGACCCACCCAGTTTGCTGAGTTTTTGTTTGTGTGTGAGCGTGTACACACAGAGTTATAAAATACTATTGGATCAACTGTAATTTCAGGTGATAGCCAATGTGACGAAGCTACATGCAACAATGGTGGTACATGCCATGATGAAGGGGACATCTTCAAATGCAGGTGCTCACCTGGCTGGGAAGGAGCCACGTGTAACATAGGTCAGTTTGTGTGACATTTCGCCCATTCACTTTCTCTATCTTTGAATGTGATACAGCTCATGTGCATCAAGCCCTTACAAAAACACTGCATTCCCACAAATCCCTGTAGCACACTTCTTGCTGTAAAGTCATACTTTTACATGAAAATGCACTTTGTGACAATGTTTGGAGCAAGCAGTGCGGCAAATAATTTGCTGCAAGTATCTTTGTGAGTGCTTCAGAAATAATTCTTTCTAGAATATTATGATCACTAAATTTTAAAACTTTATAATGCTAAGGACCCCTAAGTTTGATCACTTTGCAAAGTGAGGAGGAAAACATTGTTCACATTCAATCATTCTAGCTCACAGACTGAAATCTCACTCTCTTTCTGTCAAATGTATTGGCAGTAATTTGCTTCAAACTGCACGATCTGTAAAATAACCCCATCAGATTTTGGGGACGAGCGTTTTTTGTAGATTTCTTTGATGCAGAAAATATAATATCTGGCGTACGGTCGGCTCCAATTCTTTGATGGGAAATTTAGTTGTACTTGGTAATACGAGTCTTGGGAAATGTTGTACTTGGTAATACTTCAAGATGTAGCGGGTCTGTTTTAAGTGTGGCAGTCTTGTTGTGGTTGCACTCGTTTTGATCTGTTCAGTTCAAAGCATTCTGACCTCTTTTGTGGCTCCTCTGCAGCCAAGAACAGCAGCTGTCTGCCCAACCCATGTGAGAACGGAGGCACCTGTGTGGTCAACGGCGACTCATTCACCTGCGTCTGCAAGGAAGGCTGGGAAGGATCCACCTGCACCGAGAGTGAGTACCGCTTCCTGCGGTCGGTAACTGCAGTCCAAACTTCCTAGGTAGATTTAAAGCGGAAGAGGGAATAGTTTTACTCATAAAATTAAATTTTTTCAAACCTCATTTAGTCTGAGAATAAAGCAGGGATCCATTTTCCTGGCTTTGTCTTGCTCGTTCTTTTCCATTCTTTCTCTAAACCCACCTCACCCTGGCTGGACATTGTCGGCTGCTGCCAGCTATGAAGGAAAAAATGTAAATGAGGGAAAGTGGAGACAGATGTCCCCCTTCCTCAACCCCACCGCTTCTCCTCTGCTCTTTCTTTTTTTTCCCCCCTCAATGTGCCTTTCTCATGTATTGTTGTGCACCTCTCGCTCTGTGAGAACGGAGAAACCTGGAGTCCTAAAAATTAAAAGAGAAGAAAAGCTAGAGACAGCATGTCAGTTAGTTACTGAGCAATCAGCGACTCTGCCAAACTGGACGCCCACGCGAGCACGCAGACACACACGCACACCGGCACAAGCTCTGACATGTTGACTGTTGCGTTCATTCTTATGTGCTCACATGGGTGTGAAGTGAAACAAACCCTCTTCTCTCTCTCTTTCAGATACCAACGACTGCAACCCACACCCATGGTAAGTCCTGGCAAAACATTTACACACACAGCCTGCCGCTGTAAACAGGCCCGTACAGCTGTGCCGCACTTTCTCACACTCTCTCACAGTGCTGGGAAACAGGCACTCCCATAGCTTCTGTCATTCCAAGGGTGCGTTAAGCTCACTGCCTATTGTGCTTTTGAAATCGGGTTCATCTGCTCGAGAAGTTGTCTAAGCAAGATTCTGAGTTCACAATAACATCCCAGCAAAAGAGATTAGTATGAGTTCATTTGATAAGGATTTTGTCATTAGGAATTAAGGTCCGCTGATAACAGTGAACTGATAAAATTTACTCATAACAATTGGATTTACCTATTTTTCCATAGTTGTAAAAGTTGTTGTGACATGCAAGCTGTGACAGATGTTTTTTTATTAGTACACAGTTTGTATGTCTTTGATTTGAATCCTTTTGTCACTTTTATCAGTGAGGGTTTGACATTACAGTTGGAGATATTTTGATATATAAAATAATTTTGTAGCAAATATCCTTATAAAGTTACCATTCACTGGTGAGTTACTTTTTTTAACCAATTTTATTTTATATATTTTTTATTTTCATTTTGCGTTATATTATGTTATTTTAATTTGTTTTTTTTTCTTTTATTTACTGTATATAAAAATTAAATGGTTTTTTTTGTATTTTTTATTTTACTTTAGATTGCTTTTTATTAATTTTATATTATGTAATGTTTATTCATTTTATGTAATATTGTTTATTCATGTTACTTTATTCATTTGTCACTTTATATTATTTTGTATTTTTAAGTTTTTTTTATTTTATTCATTATATTTTATTTTAAATATGTTTGTATTCATTTTTTTATTTTACTTTGTTATTGTATTCATTTATTTTTATATATTTTTGGGGTTTTATGCTTATTTTTTATTTTACTTTATTCATTTTATACGATTTTTTTGTATTTATATATATATATATATATATATATATGTATGTGTTGTTGTTTTTTTTTCTCTCTTTCCACTTTAGTTGACCTAGTCAAACTTAGCCAACAGCTCTCATACAGTATGTCAATATGAACGTTTTGAGTCTCCTTTGGTGCTTGATTAATGCCGTTTCTGGACCCTGTTTGTAATGCTGCAAAGATGCCTGAACCGAACTGTGTTTGAGCTTCTGTCTTTCTCTCTCCATAGCTACAACAGCGGGACTTGTGTGGATGGTGAAAACTGGTACCGTTGTGAGTGCGCTCTGGGATTCGCAGGGCCAGACTGCCGCATAAGTGAGTGTTAGATGACGCCTGATACTCTTGGCTGTCAGCCCTGTTAATGTGCAAAACAAACAAACAAAAACAAACAGAGCTGGAGCAAAATGCACAGTCTAGCCACCCAATTAGCCAGCCCTCTGGGCAGAGTGCCAACAGCAAAGCAAGCAGCGTCCTCGCATTCTGCAGCGCTGATGTTCACAGCCCCTCGAGAGAAACTGACTCGCAGTGACCGAAAGCCAATCAGCCTAGTTATCCAGCACTGATTACAGAGCTCGGTTTGCTCTTTTAAAAGCTTTCATCTGGCTGCACGAGACATACCTCAGGCTTTACTGCATCCAAACCTGCAAATAAGCTCGTGACGTTAATGTCAGCTGAGTCCAAGATGATATAGTCCATCAGGATAGGGTGTTCGCTCATACTTTATGAACTCGTCTCAATCAAAGTGATCTCTTTGGGAGTTTTGCATGACACAGAATAAAGACATGATTGCTTAAAATCCTTAAAACTATGAATATTTAACTCAATGAGTAAGACCACATGGCAATTTTGTCTAAGCAAAAACAAACCTTAACTCAAGATATTCTTGGAAAACAAGCCTTTAATATCATCTTAAGCAGTCTTGCTTTTTAGGTAAATCCATTTATTTTATTTTTTTTACAATATTTCAATGTTTTTCTGAGAAACAAGACCGTACCTGTTGCTCTTCATGCGATTGGAATATTTTAGGACTTTAAAAGTTCAGAGCATTCCTAAAAGATTCTCTTCATTCCTTCAGATATAAACGAGTGTCAGTCTTCTCCATGCGCAATTGGCTCTACCTGCGTAGATGAAATCAATGGTTATCGCTGCCAATGTCCACCCGGAAGAACAGGACTAGAGTGTCAAGAAGGTGAGAGTCATATAAGCTTGTGCAAACAGGCTACACACCAAATAACCATACCGACCTCACCGGTCCCCTCGGGAGACCATCATTTCTTGTTGAAAAGAACATCACGACCTGCATTAACACCTCCAAAACCTTTCCTTTCCTACATAGTAATGACTTAACCTTGCCAACAGTGCCAAAGTTGTCAAAAAAAAGTCTCATCAGTTTGACAGTTCACATCAATTTGATGTACGTGGGCTGCAATGAATATGACAATCTTAAAAGAAATCATGTTAAAAAACAATTGGAAAATATACACACTGCGGGTAAATGGAAATGTAATGCTTCAGGTTTCACTCAAGAAGATCAAACCGTACCAACCCCTTTCTTGCCATGTCATGTTCTTCTGTTGATGTCGTTCACAGTCATTGGGAGACCCTGTATTGCTAACGGACAAGTAGCTGCTGATGGTGCCAAATGGGAGGAAGACTGCAACGTTTGCCAGTGTCAAAATGGAAAGATTTATTGCACCATGGTAACTTAGCTGCCGCTGCATCGTATTCTTGAGGCATTTAGTAATACTTCTCTTAATTATGCGATCAAAAATGCTTATTTTTGTGTCTCTTTTTTCTTTAGATGTGGTGTGGACCAAAATCATGTCGGGCAGGAAAGGCCAGAAATGGGTGTCCTGCTGGCCAATCCTGTGTTCCCATCAAGGAAGAGCACTGCTTTGTCAAACCCTGTCCTAGTCTTGGAGAATGTTGGCCCCCTGCGCCCCCTTCACCCTCCAAATGCCACGCCAGCTTCTCTTACCAGGACGACAGCTGTGCCAACATCACGTTCACCTTTAACAAGGAGAACATGCCTCAAGTGAGTCATCCTTTCAGAGGAGAACGATTGAATTATGAGCTTTTGAGCTGTTTTCCCCTTCTCCAAACGTCTCCTCCACCCTTTTCTAATTCGGTGAGCGTAGTGGGGCGTGAAAGATCAGGTTCTCTTCATCTAGGAGACAACGTTCCTCATGGGTGAAGTTTTCCATGCTGGTTGGATTCTCGCAAGCTTTGTTGTCATATCCAAACGCTTTTTCTTCAGATGAATAAAAGCGCAAGAAATACATTCTGAAAAAGGGGGGGTCGTCTTATATTCGGGCCAATACGGTAGATTGGTCAATAAAATCAAAACTTTTCTTGAAAATGTTACAAATATGAAACAAACATGAATACCAAGAGCACATTTCTAATAAGAGCATGTTTCAAACTATTTTTAAAAGATTTCGCATTGTCCTGAATACTGACTTAGGCCCAATCCCAATTCTATTTTATACCCCTTCCCCCTTGAAACAGAGTGTCAAGGGGTAGGGGTGAAAATATTCCCCTAAGAATTGGGACACCACTACTATACTGTCACACGTCATCATACGTCGTCTAGCAACTACAATACGCACACCTATACTGGTGTGCTGGTGTGCATTAGAGCTTTTAATTACCGTTCTATATTAATGCGCTGTTTCCTGACACACACACACACACATATCAGATATCGTGCAGCTCACACATCCAGGAGCAAAGAAACTTGTCAACGCTGCCCCACGACTTTTATTAATAACAGTTTAAATACTGAATCGCTGCATTATATTTTCCAGCAACGAAATCACTGTTTTTGAAGTAAACTCATTCTAAAAAGAGAAACGCACAGACGCGCATACACGCAACTTTCATCTCTCTCTCCCTGTCCCTCTCGCTCTCTCTCTCTCTCTCTCTCTCGAATTGGCAATATTTGAGAAAAGGGTTTAGCGATTTATAATTATTGGGGGTACCAGCCCTGCTCAATGTCTATGGTGGTTATTGCCCTGATCAGACATGAACATATGTTGTGGCACTATGGTGCAGTCTGTAATGATATAACGTTAGCAAACTTTAGCGATTTTTTGCAAACATTTCATTGAGTAACATGACCGTAAATATGAACTCACGATTGAATGTAATATAAAACAAATGATTACTTTTCGTTAAAATCTTTATTAATGCCAAAAATGCTTACATTTATGTGTCTTTTTGTTCGCTCGGGCAGCCATGTTGCCGCTGAAGCCGGTTTATGCTGAGATAATTCATACCCCTTCGTTTGAAGTGTGGTCCCGAAAAATCTTCGTTTGAAGGGCTATCTAGCCCTTCCCCTTACCCCTACCCCTCCAACCAAGAGAATCGAGACACCCCTACCCCTTCACGTGAATGCGTGAAACGGTTGGGGTAGGGGAAAGGGGAAGGGCTAAGGGGTAGAATTGGGATTGGGCCTAACTGTCTCACTGGTTCTTCTGTCCCCAGACTACTTGGTTCCTCTGCTCAGCTCCATCTTCATCGTGCTCTGGATCCTCGCCCTGGCCTCGGCCTTCCTGTGGTGTATTCACCGCCGGCGGAAACAGAACACCCACAGCAACACAACTACCTCAGCTACAGAGGACAATACCACCAATAACGTGCGTGAGCAGCTCAACCAAATCAAAAACCCCATCGAGAAACATGCGACCCACGGCGTGGCCATAAAAGACTACGAGGGGAAGAACACCATCATTGCCAAAATTAGGACGCATAACTCTGAGGTGGAGGAAGAGGAGATGGACAAACACCTGCAGAAAGCGCGCTTCACCAAACAGCCGGCCTACACGCTGGTGGAGCGTGAGGAGCGTGCGCCCAACAAAAACCCAAACTGGACTAACAAACAGGACAACAGAGACTTGGAGACGGCACAGAGCTTAAACAGGATGGAGTATATCGTATAGCAGGCAGCTGTGTTGCCGTGCGACCGAACCCCTGTTGCACTTACCGGTCATTTGGCAGGGTCTCGGGGGGGGTTGTGCTTCTTAAAACTGTTGCGTCGTGTTCTGGACTCCAAGGCTGTTATTTGCCTAGAATCCTGTTAATTTAAGTTTTGACAAGCTGGCTTCACACTGGCAATTGTAATAGTTGCTGTGGACGGCTGGAAAACCCAAATGCTGCATTTCGCATCCAGTGTTTTCCTTCGTAAAAGAAAAAAAAAAAAGTTTAAAAAAAAAGTACACATTTCAAATGTCTTTATTTTTGTGGATACGTTTGAGTATCTCTGAAAATTTTGCATAGTGTTTGCAAATAGTTTTAAGTGTTATTTTCGTTCATAATGACAATGCTCTCACAGCTAAAGTAGTTGTTTCTTCCTTATCCAGCAGCTGTGTGGAAACTCTCTCTTGTTGGTTTTACTTCTAGTTCTGAATTGAAACTGCCTTCACAGCTACGCACCACAGCAATTGTCGGAAATGAGTATGAAAAAAGAAAAAAATATATTTATTATTTTTCTTTTCTTGGGGTGGGATAGGTCGATCAGCTTTCTGCTGCCAATATGAAGAATTGTGTCAATTTAGTGTAGATATGTATATTTTTTTTAATTAATCACTGTGTATATTTGATTTATTAACTTAATAATCAAGAGCCTTAAAATATCATTCATTTTTATTTATATGTCCTGTCTAGTTTTGAAGGTTTTGATAGCTTTGTTCAGACGACATTTGTTTCATGTTTCACACACCAAAATTTCAAAGAGAAAAAGCAGTCTATTTTTTAAAAAAAAAACAAGATGGGCATTTGTGTGCCTAAGATTTTTTTCTTTCTTTCTTTTTATACATTGTCAGATATTTCAATATTTGAAACTTCTAATGCATGTATTTTGGCAACTCTTACCTGCTCAATGCAGGTAATGTCAACATCATGGCTGCTTTTTGTTTTGATACCTGGTGGCAGACACATTGCTTGCCATGGATGAAAAAGAAAAAAATAAATCATTAAAAAACCTAAAATAAAAGGGAACACGAGTCTTTTAGTTGATTGTTGGTAAACCTGATTCACACAAATCATTTCTCTTCAGCTTCGGTTTGCAGTATGTCATAAGCTAGGCTGTGAATACTTGAACAGTAGGGGGCCAACGGAAACACTGTAGATGACTGCCTTACTTTCAGGAGTCCATTTCTATTGCTGTGCACATGTAGTGTTCTTTTAGTTTCTCTTTTATATCGAGGCTCTCTAAAACACCAAACCGACATGCTTATCACATTTGTAAATTCTATGAGATCATGGCAATATTCAATGTTCATATTTGACCTTATTGTAAATTAGTTTTTTAGTTTGTTCCTGGCGATATTTTTTGAATGTTATATTTATTAAACATTTTGTATAAAAGGAAAATTAAACGCTTGTTTTTGATTTGTGCTCCAATGTGCTGCTTAAGGAGGAGCTGAATCCTCTCATACGCTGACGTAATGTTATGTGAGGCACAAGGTCTGTCTAAATGTATTTACGTGGTACAACCGTGCGGGTCTGATTGTACCCTGTACCATGTGAAGACTGACGCCGCGACTAAACTACCCTTCCTACATGATGAATGAGGTATTCAGTAAAATAACTGCAGGGCAAAAGGCAAAGCTTATGGTGATGAGAAGAAGAAAGGGGTTTTCCAGTCATGTATCATGTAAATTCATCATTTACTTATGTATTAGTGACTTTCTTCTGTGGTATGCAAAAAAAAGACAGTTTGAAGAGTAAGGTTGCTTTTTTCCATGCACAATGAATGAGGACTGGAGATTTCAAGGTGCAAAAAGAACACAAAGACATCATCAAAGTGGTTCATACAACTCATGCCCTATATTCAAAGTCTTCTGAAGTCATGTGATAGCTTTGTGAGAAATTTAATTGAACGTTCACTCTAGCTTTTCTTATGAGTGAAATAAGTCCAATTTGTGAACCAATCATTCTTGTGAGTCACAACTTGTCAATCATTCAGTTGATCCAGTTCATAATACCTGTCTGAATGATTTATGAATCCGAGATAAACTTGCTGACTCAATTTGGTTGCAGCAGAGGACTATCAGTGAAAAACAACTTAAACTTCACTCTGGCTTTTTATAGCTTCTGAACACTTTGGATATAATGCACAAGTAACTTGTATGATTATTCTTTTGTGCTCTGAAGCTTGAAATCATCAGTCTCCATTCATTGGAATTGCATCAAAATGAGTGCTCAGCACAGCCTCCAGAATTTCCTTTTGGTCTTCCACAGAAGAGAGGATGTTGAACGGGTTTGGATTGGGTTGATGACATTTTCTTGACCTTAATCAAAATGTCATAACTCAATCTTCAATCGAAAACGACAGACTTCTCCTTGGTGATGTATGCTGAATTTCTCCAATCATTTAGTCCACTTAAACCTTAAACCTCACCCATCTCAAAATGTAACCAACAACCAATAAATAGACGTTCCCAATCTACATTTTTTTTTTCTTTTTCGATAATCTGTTTCACTTGAATGTAAGTCAAAATGCGGAAGAAAGGATCTGTTGCTACTAAATTTACATCACAACTTTAAGCTTCAATTTGCTGAATGTTGATCTCCAATGTTATGTCATTCTGAGCACTAGATAATTCAAAGTAATAAAAAAATGAATGACTTTATTATTAATAATTAAGTAATAGTAAAACATGAGTTATATTGTAAGGCAGTACAGTATATTGCATAAACAAAGTGATGATTTCATATATTCCATGGACATTTAGTTCACGATCTCACTACAAAAATTTTATTGATTCAAATTTTATTACATATCATCAGAACATACAGTGAAATTACTTTAAAATGTGTTCTAACTCTAAACCAGAAGCATTCCGACTGCAACGTTATGGGATTATTACAGCACAATGCTTGTATATTCTGATAACGTTTTTATGACACATATCTATTATACTAAATACATAAACATCAAGTGATTTGTAAGCACGGCTGGAAAATAAAGCATGTGACTCAACGAATTTATGCCCATACATATAATCATCCTGCCATCACGCACTACATCAATGTCGACTGCACCCGTGATTAGCCAAATATCGAACGCGAGCACCACTACAGCGTTCCATAACGTTGTCAGTCATCCTGCAGCAGACTTTTAGCTGTTATGAAAAGCAATAACACATTTACAAATAATAACCGCAGGGAGACGGCAGTCGGCTCCAATGGTGAAAACCCCTGATCGCTTAAGGAACGCGGTGTATGTGAGAACACAGCGAAATCAATCATGTGCTCAGCTGAAGCTGGAAGAGTGGAGATTTCAGACGGATGGAGCCAGAGATTTGGGCTTGAAGCCATAGTGTGCTCAACGGCTCCCGCTAGTCTGAAATACAAATCTTGCACCGAAAACGCGAACTACATTCGTGTTTTTGTTTAGAGTGAAGTTACTGTTTGCTTGAGTTCCTTTTAAGCTGTTGCTAGTAGAGTCTATTCAAATATTTGAGAGCTTCTTGGTAATCTAATTCAAGCGTTTAAGCAGTTTTGTGTGTTTTTCAGTTTAAAGGGAGAAGGGAAGTACTGTATGTGCAGAGACTGTGTGTGGTGAACTCTTGTGCAACCGCCGCTGACAGACAGTATTACAGTAGAAGTGTGTACTGTAACATCCATCGTGGTGGCGTCAGACATCCTCTCCCGTTCTGTGCCGCTGCGCCCCTCAGGGCTACTTGAGTCGGCGTAATCGGGATGTTCTGGACTCACCCCCCTTCTTTCCCTCTCTGGCGACCGATCTGGAACTAATAGAGGAGCCAGAGGATACGGGCTTGACGGATAGGCCTTTCAGACTTGCGGCCAGCCCACTTTGGTTAGTCTGTGAAATCTCAGGCTGGGGATTGCAAACAGAGTCTGGTGCAGCAATGTCGGAAGAGGGATTGTTGGAATCGCTTGATGCTGCAGGCTCTCCAAGAAGCGATATTTTTGTCTTTTGGCGGTCAGCATGTTCTCCTGAGCTACTTGGGGTCCGTGGACGTCTCCTCGGACCGGTAGTGTCAAGATGTGGTTCTGTGACCTCTTTACTGTTACTTAATTTAGATGACAACACAGCTTTCCCTTCCTCCAATGACTCACCAGTGAGCAAGCTGCCAGACGATATGGTGACAGGATGACATGTTTCGGCAGAGCCCTTCTCAGCATTGTCCGCTTGGAATTGGGCTGATTTAGACTCTTGATCATCTTGCCGCTGTTGGGGTTGGATGCTAGCCTGCCTGGCACTGGAGGAATGAGGAAAGGTTACGTGAAGATGTAGATGGATCACCGCAAGGTATATCAGAATAGTACTTACATCTTCTGAAGGATGGCTCTTTTTGTAGCTGTGGAGCTGGGTAATGGATCTGTTGTCTCGACAGAGCTAGAAAAATACTTTGAATGGCTTGGTTCACTCTGTTCAGAAAAAAAGAGAGATCCATTGAACTCAAGACGGTGAATGAAAGAAAAAGTTCTTTATAAATCAATTTACTGTATCATTTATTAGGTTCGGTTTCAGTTAGGATGCTATCTATGTAGGCATCTCATTAGGTTTTGGAACAGACCTACTCTCTCAACACCTGACAGAAACTATGAAGTAAATTATTATTATTTTTTTTTTTTTTAAAAGGACTCTAAGAGAAGTCCATTGTACTGACATGAATTAACTTGGAGATATTTGGTGTAGCCATGGGAACAAATCCATGGGATGTTTTGTTTTGATGGCCATACCCAAGAGACCAAGGAAAAACACAAGCAAAAAAGCTTGTGTTGAACTGCCAGTATTCAGAGGAAGCTCTCTTTTTTCCTTTTCTCTGGCTTGGTCATCAAATTTCTGATCATGTTCATCAAAATATAAATATTTGTGCAGCTTTAAAAATATATATTTTGCTTGTGCATGTTGTATATTTTGTGTTTCTGTTTTAATATGTATGAATCATGTCAAAAATACCAATATGTGACCCTGGACCACAAAACCAGCCGCTGGGGTATATTTGTAGCAACAGCCAAAAATACATTGTATTGGGTCAAAATTATAGATGTTTCTTTTATGCCAAAAATAATTAGGATATTAAGTATAGATCATGTTCCATGAAGATATTTAGTAAATTTACTACTGTACATATATTCAAACTTAATTTTTGATTAGTAATATGCATTGTTAAGAACTTCATTTGGACAACTTTAAAGGCGATTTTCTCAATATTTTGATTTTTTTGCACCCTCAGATTCCAGATATTAAAATAGTTGTATCTCGGCCAAATTGTCACGGGTGCACACACACGAGGGACGAGGAGACGCTGGAGAATACTTTACACAAGACTTTATTCGTAGGAAGGAACCAAGGGAGACGAACACAGGAAGACGTTCACACGAAGACCTTCAACATCGGACCGAGAACTAGGGACTGGGAACACTTTATATACACACACACAGGAGGAGGGGATGACGAGACACACCTGGGAGCCATGACACATCAAGGGAAACACCTGGGAAGAAATCAACTTAATTAATCAGGGGAGGAACAGGAAACAAACCAAATAAGGGCATGGGAAGGCACATGGGGAGCAGGACACACACGAAACATGGAACAGAGTTTGACACAAATATTGTCCTATCCTAAAAAACCATACATCAATGGAAAGCTTATTTATTCAGCTTTCAGATGATGTATAAATCTCAATTTCGAAAAATTGACCCTTATGACTGGTTTTGTGGTCCAGGGTCACATATGGTTAAATCTGTATACAGATTTAAATGGTTCTAATCTAAACTTTATATTTCTATATATAAAGTGTTCAATAGAACATTCATATTTGTTGTGGTATTAAAATTGATACTGAGAATCATAAAACAACATATTGTTTTATGTGTGGCAGATGCGTGTGTGTTTATCAGGACCTGGCCTGACCACCTGAATAGTTTGACAAACACTTTGAAGTCCTTGTTTTAGTACTAGTCATGCTTAACTGGGCAGCTCAGAGAAGAATAAAGAGAAGAAGCAGCTTATTGAACCCCACCAACATACACCTTCAACAGTCCTAATGAAGCTCTATCAACAGAACAATCCTTGACTGAGCAAGAACAGAGCAGGTGCTTGTGGTTGCCAGCTTTAGGGGCACGGGATCATTGAACTGCGATTAACCGACACAAAACAATCATTCCAGTCCAAACTGATTGGATTTCATAAAAGTGTAGGTTCACCAAAAGGCCTCTGAACAGGTTCAAGATATATAGGCTATTAGTTCTATTTTAGGAGCAAACAGCCAGATAAGCACAAGGTCTGTCAAGTCATCAGAGCAAAATGAGGAAACTGCAGAGGAATGTGTTTCATATGAAGTGCACAGACGCTGGCCTGAAGAAGGGGCCTCTATATACCCATATATAATGATTTTATAGAGAGAAGTGGTGTGGCCTAGTGGATAAATATATGGGATGGTGACAAAAATAATATTAATAATAAACTTTATTTGTATAGCACTTTTCATACATAAAATGCAACTCAAAGTGCTTCACAAGCCTAAAATCAATTACAATCAATCAACTATAAAAGATTCACAATGTAAAATGAAGCATATGGTTTGACCTCAATATCAATATAAAATAATAAAGCAATGATAAAAGAATCATAATATAAAATAAAACATACAAACTGACATACAAATAACTTCAAACCATATTGTTATACTGATAAGCAACTTTAAAAAGATATGGTTGTAGAAGATATGCAAAAGGTTGTAGGTTTGGACCCAATAGTGCATGTGATGGTGATGATAAATGGAAACAAGGAAGATAGAATGGCCCGTTATCCATTTTCTCATCTTTGAGCTGAGGCGTTGTGAGCAAGTCATGCTGAATGAGTTCATCAATGAGTGAATGAATCACATAAGGAAGGTGCACCTTGCAACATGTGACTGTGGCACAATCTGTCAGATGACCATTAACGCTGTACGCTTGTAACGCTTTTGTTTAATATTAAATGAAGACAAAAGTATTATAAAATCTCACAAGATAGGATCTTTGTTGCAAGCCAAGTCTTTATTTATATGTATTCCTGTGGCTCAACCAGTATAGAATGGCGCTAGCAATGCCAAGGTCATGGGTTCAGTTCCTAGGGAATGCATGAACAGAAAAAGTAACCTTGAACCAAAGACTCTGAAAGTTGCTTTGGATAAAATTATCTGCCAAATGCATAAATGTACTTTTACTTCCAAATAAAGCAGCATTTCTATCACTTGTCAAGACAACAAAATCATTACTTGCAGGCAAATTGGTGCAAAATAAAAATGGAAGCCACTGTGGCTCTTTTAGAAAATGCAATAAATTATTTGCGGTTTAAAGCAAAACACTCTAATGAACTTCATGATTGCTAGCAATCGACAGCAGATGCCTTGTGACTGGGAGCATGTCAAAAATGGAAAGTTAATAGCAGCCAATCATTTTGACATTTCAGAATGACCAAGCAAAATTTGAGATGCAATGTGATTATTTTATGTGCATGTCTTCTTACTGAATAAAAACATTTGTGCACATCAAGCGCGAGTATGTGTTTTTATGTGAATTTTGGAAACTGTATTTGCATCTTAGTGTTTAAATCCAGCATTATTATGATATTCCAAAATTCACACTACTTGGCGATATTACCAAAATCTTACAAGTAATTTTCTCACAATATATTCTCATGATATATTACAATGTAGTTATTTTTTCTAGAAGTAAATATGTTTGTAATAATGCCAAAATTGGCAAAAACAATGCCAGTGTGTGAATAACGAATTTAGTTTTTTGTGATGACAACACTGCAACCTCACAAGAGCGTAAATGCAATAGAAACAATAATACAACATTTATACCAATTGTCAAGTTTTTACCGGTTTATCATGTCTACCAGAAAACCCAGGAACCAAGGAAACCCAGCGACAGACAGAAAGAGCCAACTCATTCAAAGCTCTTTTCCCACAAGCTGTTTGAAAGCAGCAGGTTTAGCAGGACTGCACATAAATCAGTGCTGCTTCACTCTAAATGGCCTGATCAATAGCTAGTGGGAAGGTCCACTTTAAGGTGCAGGGAAGGGTAATGCATGGGCAGATCTGAGAAAACAAGAGTCTATGAGAACCCTAGAGACTCTCTGCGGTGTGTGTCCACCCACAGAGACAAGTATTCATAGGAAATCATGTTGTAACGTGGGCCGCTAATGTTTAAAAACAATCCATTGCCAAAGTCGGAGGGAGCAAGCTGCTGTCTCATCTGTAGACTGTGTTCCATCCATGACCACCGTCTGTCGAACTCTCTCCTACACACACACACAAACTCCCCCCAACTTGCCTCCGCCCACTGCAACCAAGAATGGATGGTTTTTAGGGGGATATCCAGACACACTAGCACGCAGAAACACACCGATACTCACTAACGATAAGTCCACAGAAAATAAACACACCCAGCGAGCGTGAACGGTACAGCACACATACACACACTCGACAAAAACATGGAGGATAGGGGAGGAAGAACATTTGAATTTCAATACCTTCATATGCATTTTACAAACCTTTAGAAAACAGATGAAAGAGGCAGCAACAATGGACCAGTGTTTCTTTCTCAGAGAGAAAGCAATTCTCTCATGTACTTCGCAGGGCTTCAAAGAAAAACAAGAGAAAGAGAAAGAGCAATAAGAAAAGAAATTTATGTCAGAAAGTTAATGGAGTGATTTCAATGTTCAGAAGTTTGGGGTCAGTAACATTGTTTCTTTTTTTTCTTGTTGAAGATAAATACATTTATTCAGCAAAGTTGCATTAAATTGATCAAAGTGACAGTAAAGATACTGTTACAAAATAATTCTATTTCAAATAAATGCTGTTCTTTTGAACTATCTATTTATCAATGAATTCTGATAAAAATGTATTGAGTTTCCACAAAATATTTAGAAGTGTTTGTTTTTGATATTGTTAAAGAGCAGGTCATATGGTATTTTAAAGTGTCCTAATATTGTGTTGGAGTCCCCTACAACAGGTTTAAATGCATCTAAGGTCAGAAAACATTATAATTTTCTCAGAATATACATTTAATATTAGAATCATTTTTCAATGATTTCGAAATGATTCGTTCGAATCGGTTCTGAGCTTAAGGTCTGTAAACCCCTCCCTTCCATAAGCCTACTCTGCTCTGATTGGTCAGCTGGCCAAGTCTGTTGTGATTGGTCTTTCCGTATACAATGCGTGTTGGAAACGAATCGCCCATTACCATAATTAATTTTTTGCTCCGAAGGGTTTCTTGTAAACAAAGATGCTGTAAGTTTACAAAAATGGCAAGCACAACTTATTTAAGACGTTTCTCAGTGGTAAGTTTAAACTTTGTATGTGGTACTTTACGTGATGTGACAGCAATTTTATTGCATTCATTATTATTATTGACAAGCATTT